ATGCAAAAGGTTTTATGGCACAGTCACTCTTGTTTTTTGAATGGGCTCACATATGGCTTTCTGTTCTGCTTCAGAAATTAAACTGTGAGTGAACAGCAGTGGTGGAAGGATGAATGCATTTAATTGTTCTGCAGTTATAGACAGTTTTAATTACATCAGTGAATTAGCTTGTGTAATAAATGTACTTGCTAACTCACTGTTTTTCTAAAACGCAATTTCTTACTTCTCATTATATGAAGTATAAAAACATCTCTACCTGAAGTGACAGTTGAAAGATGCTGGTTTTCATACATATTATATTGGGTTTTTTATAGCCTGTATTCTCTCTTTTTACTGCAAGATTTTTAAATTAGCCTTTAGGATTTCAGTGTCTGGTTACCATAGGCTATAGGTAGGTCTTCAACTGAGGTTTTTGACATGCTGGTAGTTTGATTTAATTCACATGGAGTCAAGTGCAAAAGTATGGTAGAGGAGTATGGAGACTTCTACCTGATCCTTTGTGTCTCATCAGCAGCAGTTACGGGGGAGCAGTCTCCAGCTCATTACTTGGTCTCATGGTTACATTCACCTCTGTGTTCACTGCTGAATTTTGTTTGGTTAGCAATTTACCACATTATATTAAATAGGAATTCATTAAGGAAAACAGGCTGTTCAACAAGTGGCCTAATAATGTTGAAAAGCCTGTTATGAAGCCTTGGGGGCCAATTAAATAAATTTACACTATTTGTATCCAGTGCAACTTGGATTATTATTCTGTCCAAATTTGCCTTTGCTATATTTCCACTCTATTACACTGCTCTGCTTCCTTCAGAAAGCAGTTTAGTATTCCCAACATATTGAATATTTCTCCATAAAAAAAATTTAATTGTCTTCTATCTCTACCTATGAGATCCAATCTATGTCCTAAACTTGCAAAGGAAAATCCATTTTAGGAGATGTCTGCACAGAGAGAGAAGCATTAGACCCTGGGGTTAGTGCTCGTGTTGGACCCACAGGACCAGAGGAGTGTCAGGTAGTAGTGGCTGTGATGATGGATAGCTTCTCTACCGGACTTTGGTAGCGTCTTTAGCTGTCTGTGAGGTCAATGTTTCATAGGACAAGAGAGGCTGCCATCCTGTGTCAAGAGCCCATATTGCAGTTACACAGGCAAGGAGAGCAGCATCTCACGATCTGTTCTTTTTGACAGAAGGTTTTAAGCTCGTGAGTGAAGGCTTATGGTGAGGTTCTTAATTGCTACAGATGAAACAAATGTTTGTGCAGTCAGCCCTTAGTGTGACAGGTTCCTTTGAATGGTTTGGTAAGAAGGAAACCGGTGAAAAGTATGAGACTGGAATGACAAGAATCTGTGACAGGTTTTTGTAGGCTCAGTCTGTGGGGTCTTTGATTTTTTTTCTGGTTTTGTAAAATGAACTTGTAATCGCTGTTAACAATAAGGTCCCAAGTAAACAGAGTTTATTTTTCTCTTTAAAAGATAAAAAATATGTGTATTGAATTGTTGATTAAAATTACATATTAGTGTATTATTACATAACATAGTTAAAGAATATATTAACATGTGCTTGATGTGTTAGTAATAGTGTAATATTAACATGAATACACAGTTACTATATTAAAATTATATGTGTGAAAGTTTTTGTTACTATAATACATTTTAAAATTGGGACCCTGTGACACAGAGCAGTGCTGGAGGTGGCTCGATGCAGCTCAGCAGAACTGAGAGAAGACCAAGTTTTGGTCTCTGATCTACTCCACCTTTTGCCCTCCCTTTAGGTGAAGGTACTACTGAATGATTACATGGCTGGTTAGATTCATTTTTTTAGGCTTTCTTTATTACATATACTTTTAAAGATTTTGATGGAGGATTTCCATTCCATCAAGGAATGGAAAAGGTCTGTGAAGAGCGTGGAGCTTTTAGCTAAGTGGACTTAATGAGTTCTCAGCTTTAAAGTAGAGATGGGTTGAAGAAAGCTTCTTCATGGTTCTCAGCATTCATAGCACAGAGATACAAACCCAGAGGTTTTGCAATATGTTGTAAGAGCATCTAACATTTGGCCCAACCTACTACTAAATTTACACATAAAAATTAATTAATATTACATTATTTGACATGTGGATCCTAAACATCGGGTTATACATGCATACATTGGGTGTGTATCTCAGAACAGCGTTTTATATTGATTTCAAATTTCTAAAGAGTTTTTGAGATTTGTGAAGTCTGCACAATAAAAGTGCTTAAAGGACAGCGATCTGTGCTTCATGGCAACTGTGAGGAAAATCAGTGGGAGAATTACTTCTGGTGGGGTTGTCATGGCGTGTGTTTCTGCTGCTGATTTGTTGGTGTCCATCTTCAAAGTGTTCTTCAAATTTCACAGAATTAATTCAAATGTGTGATCTTTGCCTTAAAAAGCATCAGCACTGCTTGACTAACTAAGGAACAAATTAATTGTGCTAGACAAACCATTTTTACTCCACTGGAATTCTGCCCCAGTAATTTCAGAAGGGAATGACCATAAAGCTGTTACGTGTGAGATCACGGTTTTCCACTCCTGTAGTTTTTTGAGAGGGATGTATGATTTTGGGTAAAGAGCACTGACATCTTGTGGCTGCATGAAATAATACAAAGAGCTCTTGTCACACCAGCCTTACATTTTGAAGAGCCTGTTGCAATTTTAACAAAAATTAATGACTGCGTTTCCTGGTGGATGTAAACACAAACCTCTAGGATAAGCTGGTCTCATGAAAAGCATTAAAAGTAAAAAAAAAAATTGTCTGTCTTGTAGTTTTGCTATTGCTTATGAAGATGCAATTATTATTGGTGCTGGAATTATTGTTTATTTTAAGATAGTCTTGGATCAATTAGACTCAAATGTTATTAAGGCTCCGAAATAGCAGAGGGAGAAATAGAAACACGAATCCCATCCAATATTTTTCATTAAAATTAATTTCACTTACATGACAATGGAATCTTACAAAGTGCCATTTTAGGGAACATACTAGTTTGACTTTTCCATCCAGATTTTTTCTTTAATTTAAAGATTTAACTGTATTTTTTTTGTAACCAAAATGTGTGGGAAAAGACAAGTAGTCTTTCTTCAGACCACCATGGAGGTGGTGGTTCCACGAGGACCATTGCAGGCATGATTTCTGTGTCCTGTAGCTGTGCCCCAGAGCCTGTCCAGATACAGAATGACCGCCTTTCTCATCTGGACCCATTCCCAAATCTGTTTGCTGGCTGGTTCCTGAAATGTTGGTGCCGGTGCTGAAGAGCGGGCAGCAGAGGTTGTCCCTTCCAGCAGCAATGCTGGCTTGCTCCAGCTTCAGTGTTCGTCAAGGGACAGCCTCGTGCTATTTGGCCTCTGATCTCCGTAGAATTATAGAATCACAGAGTGGTTTTGGGTTGGAAAGGACCTTAAAGATAACCTAGTTCTACTGCCCTGCCGTGGGCAGGGACACCTCCCTCTAGCCCAGGTTGCTCCCATGGGGGAACTGCTGGATGCCATTGGAAGAAGCATTTGTCCCCTTCTGCCCAGTCCTTCCCCAAGGTTCATTCTCTTTCCCACATGTCAGCTCTAGTCAATGCACCATGAGTTGATGTCAGACTGTGTGAAATGGCAGCCTGGTATTGGCAAGATAGCAAATCGCAGTGTGAAACTTCATGGCGGAGGAAAGTGGTTTTGTTTTAAACCAAAGCCAATTTTGGTCATTTACTTTCACACTCTCACACCCGCATACTTGTATTCACAAGCTCAGATGTGTTGTCTGGGTTGTGCACAATGGGAAGGGGAAGAATGCCTGCTGACAGGTCCTCCTTGCATCTCCAGGGCTCCTGCTAGTCGTGTGACCATGTCTGTGCTGGTTTTGGATGTCCCATTGTAGCTACAGGACGAAGGGTAATGGATTTAGACTGGAAGAAGGGAGATTTAGACTAGACATTAGGAAGAAATGTTTTCCTGTGCGGGTGGTGAGGCAGTGGCCCAGGTTGCCCAGAGAAGCTGTGGATGCCCCATCCCTGGAGGTGTTGAAGGCCAGGCTGGATGAGGCTTTGAGCAACCTGGGCTAGTGGGAGGTGTCCCTGCCCGTGGCAGGGGAGTGGAACTCAATGATCTTTAAGTTCCCCTTCAACCCAAACCATTCTGGGATTCTATGATTTTGTACCTTCTGGCAGCTGGCCTCTCAGTCTTGCCACCCCTCTGTGTGCACTGTCCAGTTTTTTATTTCTGTCCTTAGCATTACCCACTTGGGTATCTTCAGAAGAGGGTACAGATGTGCTCCTGGATGGCCATGTGCCACCCCAAGGGTCCTCTTTTTGCAAATTGTTCCTTCTGATGCTTCCATACCCATACCCCATCCATTCATGTTGTGTTCAACGTTTGTATTTCAGTTCCCTGCAGGGTTGTCTTTCTGGTCACAGTTAATTGTTGTTCATTTGGTCCGTGCTGTTCTGTGATGGCTGAAGGAGGCGTGTGAACTTTGTGGACTGACTTCAGAGTTGATTTGCTTATTGTGAGTGTTGTAGGAGGTGTGTCTTCATGGAAGAGCGAATCCTGGACACAATAAAGTCAATGAAGAGTTACCCTAGTGGTGTCAGTGGAGCCCCTGCCTTCTCAAAGGCGTAAGATACTTAGGTTAATATTTCACGTAAATAATCTTAAATTTATAATCTAATCTTTGTGATTGAATTAAGATACAATCCTACCCTAACAAGGACATAATTCTCTTAACTAAGAGCTACACTGCAATAGCCAGTACTTGATGTATGACTTTCAGTATAGATTGTAAACAACAGAAAGTGATGCAAGCACCCACTTGATGTTAACACAGTGAATTATCTTAGTAATGACACTATGGAAAATAATAAATCGTGACAACAAAAAATTCTTTCATCAGATGCTGTTTTGGATTTGAGTATCAGTAAAAATTACATTTAGTTCTATTTAAAGTCTCTATTCCCTTAATGCATTAAAAAGACATAATTGACAGTATATATGTGTCTTTAACAGGAACCAGTGATCCCTATGTCAAGTTCAAACTTGGAGGAAAGGAAGTATTCAGAAGTAAAACAATACACAAGAACCTCAATCCTGTGTGGGAAGAAAAAGCTTGCATTCTTATAGATAACCCAAGAGAACCATTGTATATAAAGGTGAGACACTATCTTATGCCTGTCAAATTTCAGCAGAAGAGTTATTGCAAGAATGTATATTTTGTAATTTTTGTATACTGATAATATTATTATGCAATAGTGCATTACTAAAGACTATTTAGAGGTGAAAATTATCTGAATTACATCTGTATAAAAGTGATGTCAGTTTTCTTTTTAAAAAAAATGTTAATACAGGCATTTTCATTTATTTCAGGCCATGATTTTTTTTATACTTCTTTAGCATGATCTTGGGAGAAGGACAGAGAAAGTAAACTATGTTTCATGATGGTGGCACCCCTTTTATTTGTGGAAATATCATCAGAATATCATTCTGATATGAAGCATGATCTATCGTATTAGAAGCAATTATTTGTTGAGGTTAATTTGAGAACTTGTTAAGATGTGCGCCCAGTTCTCCTAGGTTTTGGGTTTTTTCCAATTTGTACTTGAAATGGGTTTGCTTATATGTTTCATAGTGCTTTATGCTCTTTTTTCTTTACATTGTGACTCTACTTAGCATATCACAGGTGAGGATGGTTTTGTCATAATCAAGGCATAACTTATTCCAGAGTAACAGCTAGCTTGAGTTTAAATCAAGGAGA